AGATAGATAGATAGATAGATAGATAGATAGATAGATAGATAGATAGATAGATAGATAGATAGATAGATAGATAGATAGATAGATAGATAGATAGATAGATAGATAGATAGATAGATAGATAGATAGATAGATAGATAGATAGATAGATAGATAGATAGATAGATAGATAGATAGATAGATAGATAGATAGATAGATAGATAGATAGATAGATAGATAGATAGATAGATAGATAGATAGATAGATAGATAGATAGATAGATAGATAGATAGATAGATAGATAGATAGATAGATAGATAGATAGATAGATAGATAGATAGATAGATAGATAGATAGATAGATAGATAGATAGATAGATAGATAGATAGATAGATAGATAGATAGATAGATAGATAGATAGATAGATAGATAGATAGATAGATAGATAGATAGATAGATAGATAGATAGATAGATAGATAGATAGATAGATAGATAGATAGATAGATATAGATAGATAGATAGATAGATAGATAGATAGTAGATAGATAGATAGATAGATAGATAGATAGATAGATAGATAGATAGATAGATAGATAGATAGATAGATAGATAGATAGATAGATAGATAGATAGATAGATAGATAGATAGATAGATAGATAGATAGATAGATAGATAGATAGATAGATAGATAGATAGATAGATAGATAGATAGATAGATAGATAGATAGATAGATAGATAGATAGATAGATAGATAGATAGATAGATAGATAGATAGATAGATAGATAGATAGATAGATAGATAGATAGATAGATAGATAGATAGATAGATAGATAGATAGATAGATAGATAGATAGATAGATAGATAGATAGATAGATAGATAGATAGATAGATAGTCTAAATAACAGAGAGACAGGTAGACAGACAGATAGATGGATAGATAACTTCTTGTATGATTATTTATTGATTTGCTTAGTTATCTGGTGCAATTTGTGTTAAAATGAAAGTGTATAATTTGCAGAATTTCCTTTCCACCTTAATTTATGTAACCCATAAATGTTTCCATGGAGCCCTTTTTGGTGCAATTAATTGTGTAATTTGACTTATTAATTTCATTTCGTAATTTGTAAAACAACTTACCAATCTTCACACAATCACCACCCTTTTTCCATTGACCATTTGATTCACAAGTCATTTGATATTCAGTTATATTGCTTTTTCCAATTGGGTAGACATATCCAGTGTCACATTTTACTGTAGCTTTGGCTTCAAATGTTGTCGTATTATGATCATAAAGTATGATCGATTTTGAGTTTTTAAGTACAGATGTGGTATTTGGCATGAGACAGTCTAGCATAAAATAGAAAATACACGTTATATCAATACAGTGTTTCCTTACGAGATATTGTAAATATATTACCGACAGGAATAAAAACATTTCTGAATATCATTTGGCATGTTCGAATAGATTTTATGAACGTGCAATAATATGTTTTGTTAAAAAGCTTGAGCGCTTAATTACATCATATGTTTAATGTTAATCAAGTTGAGATAAATTGGTCTTTTACAAAATAATTGTTGCCAAACTTTCCAATTTTTTATGAAAACTCTCAAAATAACACGAAATGTAATCTTAATTATAGACAGACATGCAAATAGATGAATGGATGGATGGATGGATGGATGGATGGATAAATGGATGGATGGACGGATAGATAGATAAATAGATAGATAGATAGATAGATAGATAGATAGATAGATAGATAGATAGATAGATAGATAGATAGATAGATAGATAGATAGATAGATAGATAGATAGATAGATAGATAGATAGATAGATAGATAGATAGATAGATAGATAGATAGATAGATAGATAGATAGATAGATAGATAGATAGATAGATAGATAGATAGATAGATAGATAGATAGATAGA